AAGTATGTTGGGGCTATTCTCGTCTCTACAGGTGTTTGGTGCATTTTGCAATCTTCAATATGCACCCCTCTGGGCTTGGAAGATGAGGATTTCTTCCTTCAATCGGGTCAAACAAGCTGCGAATGAGAACCGACTGCCATGGGTGTTTTGATGCTTGGTGCTGCTGTTCTATGCTGTTCTCCCAGTGCGCTTGGTCCCAGCAAAGCCAACAATTTGGGAAGAAACTGGGGCACACATAGCGGTTGGTCTCCATGTAGTGAAGATACTGTTACCTGGTTTTGCTGGTGTGATTCTACATTCTACATGTCTCCGGATGAAGCTTCATCTTGGGAGCCAGATGCGATCATTGTTTCCGAGTTTGGCAAATCCAAGCTGACCTTCATCCATCCACATACTCCAAAGCCCACGCAGGTGACCGCGACGAACACTATGACCGCGGTCCCCGGCGGCGCTACGACGAGCCGCGGGAACCGCGCTATGAGTCCCGAGAACCCATTGGCTCCTTTGGAGGTCGGGGGATGGCATGGAATGGCATGCCATGGCCCAAACTGATGTGTTGGGGGATGCTGTGGGGTTCTGGACTTAGACCAAAGGATGGGTTTCTGGGGTTGGTGGTTGTGTTTGGGTTCGACGGTTCTTTGTTCGGGAATGCAAGATAAGGTGTCGTGATCAGCACGCATGAGGGTGCCACCCAGGTTGCAAAAAGTCAGATGAGCCTCATGCGACAAGGTATTTGTGGCAAGACTTTTGCAAGGTTCAAAATGTGTATGACATACTGTCACTATCACTTGCCTCTTTTGCAGATGTCATGGAGCGGGAAGCTAGATGTGGGTGGGGCCAGCAACTTGTCTACCGAACTTTTAAGTACCTGCAAACTTGGTACCTGTGCATGGGAGCAGTATAGGTTCAAGGAGTTGGAGACATGGATTTTCCTATAAAGTTATGTGATAATTATGCACGTGGGTGCATCTGCTCAAGCTCAAAGCATCCTGGCAGCCACTCCCATACCACTGACTTACATTCCCCATACCACTCCTATATAAGGATTTTCCCTATACCACTTCCATACCACTCCTATAGAACAATGATATATACCTGGTATATACCTGGTATATAAAGCCTCCCATAGTGGAGGTATCACTTTGATAGGTACTTAAAAGTTTCCTTGAACTTGGGAGGGCACATTTGGACCTGTTTGGACATGTTTGCAGTTGCAATCATCAAAACTGATAGAATCTGCAAAGTGCGTTTCTCAAACAGTTTTGATTTTTAAGATATGTTCAGCCTTGTCCGGACTGGGTGCGGAACATCCTGTCCATCCCGTCCGGATGACTCGGTATTCTTTTGCCAGGTAGCAGACCCTCCAGAGAATCCAATGCTTGCCACCCAGAGCCGAGCATAGCTTAAAGAGACCTAAAAATAATGGTAGGACAGAGTGGTAAACGCTTAGAACACGCACACACAGACACACAGGGATGCAATCCTCCTGTTCATTTGTCATGTGAGGGGTGGCATGATGGTTCGGATGGATCCAAACTAGCACAGTGGTATAGGTATAGCCTTTATGCGGTCAAGGAAGCCATTCTTCCAACCGTTTGGAGAGCTTTCCTTCTTGGGCTTCTCATGAAAAAAGCTATGACACTAGTCAATTGAGGCCCAGCGCAGCATGCACAGCATCAGCTAGATTATGGGTTGTAGGTTTTTCCGTGGCAACCTGACGGAGATTGTTGGAAGATGTTGGAAGCTGATATACTTACCTTTGGATGGAATGTCCACTTTTCTTGGAGCTTCCCCGAATGCCCAATCCTAAGAGGGATGAACGTTAGAACCGTGAACTGACATCAGCTCACTCGTTTTGCCGACCCGTCTCCACTTACGAAAGAGATCCCCGGATTTGAAACTTGGCAAAACATGCTGACATTATTTGACAACATCAGTGGAATGCCTCATGTAGATCCTATCCAGCCAAGGATATTCCAAACCATCCTTGTTGAACCAACGTACGTATAGGTTCCACAAATGGCCCCTTGGATGTCAAATGGTGTTTAATCAACCACCCACAAGTGTAGGTCCTGTGTCGTCCTGATATCGTTTAGTTCCTCCCCGAGTGTTGAAAATATCTCTTGTGTGCTTTGTCTACTCTGTATATTCCCCCCCCACACCTTTCATAACCAACCGAACTGATGAAAGGATGCGATGATGCTCATGTTCCACCAACACCTTCATTGAGTGATGTGCCGTGTACCCATGGCCGAACGCCCCACGCCTCACGCCACCCCCGAGGCCTCCCGCGGTGAAGGGCGACTCAGGTCGACCCGTCCGTTCGATGCGACACCTGGCATCGGCGGCCGTCGTTGAGTGGGTCGCCGTGTCGGGGAGAGGTCGTTCAGTTGGGCAGTACAGCTGTCTTCGACCGTTTCGGCTCGAAGCAGGTCCCAAGTGGAGTGGCTGAACGACCGGGTCATGCACTCGGTGGCTGCAATTCGAGCATGCGCAGCGTAGAGGGGAGATGAGGAATGAGAACACGGATGTCGCAGTATGCGGATGCCCTAAACGGCACAAAACGGGCGCTTGCGCTCCAAAAGACCACACCTCTATCGTTGGTAGTTTGGACCTATTTGGGCAGTACCTATAAAGAAGTTGGATGCCTGACCATGCCTGACCAGAATCTCTTCAACAAGCCCCCATTTGAGAAAAAGATGCGTGTTCCGTTTTCTTGTGTTTACTCTGGCTGGGAAGAGGATTGAAGAGTTTGTTTTGCTTGTTTCTTCCTATCGAACACTCCCAGAAGCCCTCAGATTCTGAAACCCAAAAGCTGAGACTTACAGTTGCAGCCCAGATGGGGATCGCCAGAATAAGAAACCAAATGAGTATCCTACGCTAGAAAATCCCAGTGTTCCTTTTGATAGGATTCGATGATATGCAATGATATGCATGCATAGAAATGGGCATTTGTTTGTTATGTCCTTTTCTCCTCTCCAGCAGGCTCGCCTCGCTCGTGTACCGAGGCAGGTTTGCAGCAGGACTTAGACGCTGAGCGCGTGCTCCCCCAGCTCGCAAGAGCTCCTCGGCCCAAAAAAACTCACCACTCACCGTGTGGTTCGGATTCGGGATACACAGAAAACACAGGTGTTTAATGGTTTTTGAAACCCCCAATGAAGTTCTTTTTTGGTGGCATGTTGCTAATATGTTGCCTCATTTTGCCCAACTAGAAATCTAAATCAGGATGCTCCCTTTTTCAGTGCGATTGTTCACACCTACAAAGCTGGATTGATCCAATAACCTAGGCCCTAGAATTTGCTTGGGAGGTGGTTTCGCTTCTCACGCCACGAAAAAACCTCGTTCCGCTCTTCGAGGAATGGTTGACAGTCGACTATATGTCGAACATGTCTACGTAGCTGTGTGAAAAAACTGCAGGACCTGGTCCGGACCTTTTGGGGGGGGGGCCTCAGAAGCCGTTTAGCCGTTTTGGATCGGTTGGTCGGCTTGGTCGTTCGGACTCCAGGTGAGCGAGAAAGACTCCCTAGACATCTTGCAACGCACCGAGACTCAGAATGGCGAGGGACTAGCAGGGCTGGGAGGGACCAGCAGGGCTGCAACTCTGAGCTGCTACATGTAGCGGCTGGGTCACTCAGTGCTTTTCTGGCGTTGCAGCATCCCATTCAGCTTCGTTTCGTGGGTTGTTCTGCAAGTTGGGGTGGCCCTTCGAGCGGTTTTTTCGATGAACAGAAAACCCCTCCGAGCCGAGCATCCGGCACCGCTCGGCTCGAAAAATGGAGGATTTGGGTGTGGGTCATGGCACCTCACACTGCAAACCATTGTCTAAAGTCCATTTACCATTTGGGGCGGGGGATTCACCGGCGGGCGGTTGATTCACCCGAACGTTGGTCCATTCCGTGTGATCCGTGTGCGCCCGAAAAATATTATATATATATATAAAGACCATTGCCTAGCAGGTTGTGTCTCCCGAACATAGAGGAATCATAGAGGAATCTACAGATCAATCGATCTGATGGTTGTTAGTTGCGTTGACGCCAAACTGAGTCGATCGACTCGCAGTTGATCGGGGTCTTGGTGGTCGAAATGTCAATCGTGGCTGCTGCCTTCGTGGGTATCCAAAGGAATTGGGCTTGTTTGAAAACGGGGACGGAAGCCAACTACTGTGTTTTGAGTTACATCGCTTGGACATGTTTCCTTTTTGAGGTATCAAAGGATCATTGGCATAGGAAGCTTTTCTCAGACTTCCTCATGGATTCAGATTCGTCCTTTTTCCTCACAGCTTCTCCTGAGTTCATCTCCCCCTTTTGTTCAACCCGACAGGTCTCTCCTAACCGCCGCAGTTGTCACGACACCACACACCGTCTGGCGTTTGCCGGTAGCCGTTTGGCCCTGCGGGGAACCACCGGAGGGGCTTAGACCGTTCCTCGTCCATGGCGCAGAACGGCGACGGAAAGCACCCGCCCCCGCCGGGCTTGGGGGGCGATGCCGTTGCTTGGACAAAGAGGTCTGATCAACGGCAAGAGGTCTGATCTGCAAGAGGTTGCCTTCTGGCCCCAAGGCTTTTCCTCCTTCTATGGTTTCTTTTTTCCGTCGTCTTTCGGAACAAGGCACTCCGAACATCTCCATACCCACCGACTCCAGGCTTTTTCAACATGGACGATTCATCCAAGTGATTTCGTCGATGTGACTACGTGGACCCTCCGCACCTCCGTGAAAGCACCTCCTTCGGGGGCGTGCGACGTTCCGATTCAGCTGATTCAGCGAAACCAAGCAACGAAGGGTCCACAGACAGTCACCCGTTTGGAGTATATATATATATACCATCAACATCCATCAACTCTCTTCCCACCATGGATTCTCTTACCAGCATCTGGGGGGGGGGCCGTCTCCATATCCTTTGAAAGAACCATGAGTCTGCCTTTTTGCGGACTGACTGCGCACAGGTTGTGGCTGATGCTCATCATGACATCGCTCGTGACATTGGTCAGCAAGTGGAAGTAATGATCTTGGACGCGCCACTCGGCCCACAATTCGAATGAGAGGTAGGAGACTGCAGGGGAAAGTCATCGGATCCTGCGGCCTGTTGATAAGATCGTGTAGCAGTGTAGCCTGTAGCCTTTAATAGATGCATGCACTCCAAATATAGGTTGGGTATCCCCTGTCCAAAACATGCTTTAGTTTTTAGTGGAAAACGGTTTTCTTCTGCCTATGGAACTGAGTCACTGCAAGAAGAAGGAAACTAGTCTTGCCAAGATCCTCACAAAGGATTGGCCCATGAAAAGAGCAGAAGCCCATGAATCACCGTGAGGATTATTGCATTGAAGCTGATCGCTGAGGAAGCATGCGTCTGAGACCAGGGTGGGGAAAGAGATCCAAAAGATCAAACAGAAGATGGAGGCCATGGCAGAAAAAATCAAGATGATCAACGATCGAGTAGCAGCTGTTGAGCCAGGTCGAATCTTGACTGAACAAGGTGCATGTTGCTTTATCTCAAATCAGATGGAGGCATGTTTTTCTTTCGTTGCAAATCATGCGACGGTGGCCCTTCATATCCTTTCATCTTGAGACAACACAACTTATGTTGCCTGCTGAAAGAATTTGAAACCACTGAGCCTTGTCGTGGCCTCCCACGGCGTTCTCCACCACACTCGCACTTCTCCCATCTTCTCCCGCCCCGGTGCTCCTTGGCTTCCCTCCCCCCACAAAAACAGGAAGCGATCCTCTTTGCGGAAGACGCACCGAAAACGCACCACACCAACGCGCGAAAACGAACCACCCGGTCGGTGCCGTGCCCGTGTCTTACCAAACCGGTCGTGCCGAACAGCGAGGAAATGCGCTGCTCAAGACGGACCTCCAGGCGAGCATCGCCAAGCTTGAGGAGGTCTGGGAAGGCGAAGTCGGCTCCTCGGTGACGGGTGACGTTGGTGGTGGGTGAGGTGGGTCGGGTCGGTGTCCACGACGGTGGTGTGTTCGAAAGGAAGGTATTCTGTGCGTTGGTACAGTCTTCTGTTTCCAGGTGGCTTAGGCCGGTCATGTTGCCCTCTTTGTCCCTAGATCCATTCTGGCGGCAGGGTGCATTCATCATGACAGTAGAGTCTTGGCTGACAGCACTGCAAGCCCTTGCCAGCGAAAACCTGTAGCCATGCCAGGAAGGCTGAAGAGGTGTAAGAGCAAAAGGTGTTTCTTGCGGAGAATTCTTTTGACCCAAGTGACTGCTCTTGATCTTAGGTACCCTCAAGCACGAGTTGTGGCAGACCATCCAGGCACACAATCACAATGCGGACCTGCTGAAGCACCACAAAGATGTCCCCCGGACCAAGTCGCCTGCGCTGTCGTGTGTGTTCCACACAAGTCCTCGGTGCGCGGTCGATTGGGGTGTGAAACGACCACACCTGCACAGCGGTCCTGATTCCATCGGGGTGGAGACCCTTCCGTTCCAAACGGTCGATGATGGTCAATGGCTGGTCAATGGCCGGAATTGCTGCTTTCACTTGACCCAGCGCTGAGTTTCCTTCTGTCATGACCCAGTTCTGCGGCGCTACAGATGGGTGGGTGTGTATGATTTAGATGGGGAGACTCCGATCTCGCCCCTGGCTGGGCAAATTCCCTTCACCGAGCCCAAGGGGGTGGAAGTATGGGTCGGAGACCATCCCAGGTCGACTCCCTGGAAGAAGGAACATTGGAAAATCGACTTGAACCCATTGGGTTGGGCTCAGGGTGTCTTGCTATTTTAATAGTGTTTTAAGACACACCCATCCCATATGCATTTTCTGTCTATTTCGATCACCGGTGCATAGGAGATCGTGTTCGATCTTCCACCATCTATGGATCAAACCAGTCGAACACGGCAGAACGGGGGCAGAGTGAAACGACCGGAGCGATCGGACGCTACGAGCCCGGGCTCCTGGCATCGCGAACCGAACGGAACAAGCAGAACCCGAACAGGGCTCCTGGCCTTACTGCTAGGAGCAAGGACACTACTAGTAGGAAGACCTTGATTTCTGAGATGGACAGATGCCTCTTTTTGTCCCAGAGGTCCAACAAGTAGATGAAGAAAAAGTGTCCAGTATACGTACAAGTTGGTTCTACCATGTTCTACCAGGAATTCCACTCAATGTGTTCAATGTTTGCTCGCATCACCGGATTCCGCCGTTAGCAACGGGCGCTTGCCGTTGCTTAAGGCCATCGACCAAGTGCAGAACCGGATGACGGATGTCACCCCGAATCCCGAGTTGGAGCAAGTCCATTTGCAGCTCTTGCAGGCCGTGGACACCACAAAGAAACGTGATGATGGAGTCCAACGACAATGTCATGCCTTATGACCCCTATGGATTTCAAAATATTTCGATTGATTTCATATGGTTTGGGGTAGGACTTTGTCAGTTGCCTATATGGAGTCGAACTGAATTCTCAGTGGTTCCTTCCACTTCTCACATCCATAGTGGGACCCATGCCGAAGCGTGTCAGAACGTGGGAAGTGTGAAGGAAACTATGTTTCACGTACTGTTTCACGTTTTGCCAATGGAAGATCTCACCTGAGTTGCTTGGTCTCCCCACATGGTCAAAACATGTCAAAACCAGTTGGCTTGGCACACTGCGGCCTCATGCGGCCTCCATTTTGCACTCACTCTGCCAGGTGGACAAGGTACTGCAGCGGGAGATGGCAAAGGAAGTGCAGATGGACCAGCTGATGGCCCGTTCCTTGGCTGATGGCCCCAACGCAGAAAAAGTGGCGGTGAAGAAATGGTAGATTCACTTGGAGTTGGTTTGCTCTTTGGACCAAGTGAGTACCAACTCAGATGAGCATGAGCAAACCTGAAGAGATGGGTCCTGCATACCAACTCCATAGGGCATGTTTGGGCCAAAAAGTTCAAAACCTGTTGAAGGGTATCGAGCAGAGATGGTAGAAGATTGCAGAATATGGTTTCAAGTTCCTGTCAATGGCCCTGGATCTACTTCCAGGTGCGAGTCGGATTTCTTCCAGCTCTGCCTTCCACCGATGAAGGATGTGCCAAATCTGTCTAAAGAAGGTGTTCTTTGAGACCAAGTTTCCAAAGGGAGTTCCAGGGATTTTTCATGACCAGCACATCAGGTCCGTGTCGTTTGCGAGGGACGTCTTTGCGCTCTGCGCGCTCAGATTCAGCGAAACGGACGCACAGGTGGGCAGGTCGGGCCTGGCTCAATCGCCTTGGATCGACCTGATATTTTTGGATATTTTTGGAAGATGTCGGTTTCTAGAGGTCCCGACCGTAGATATTTAGTTGGACCCATAGTAACATAGAATGTTGAGTTCGCAAGTTTGGTGTGCTTACGTAGGTCCGCGTGGCTGCACGTCGCATGCCGCGCCGGACTCCAAAAAAACACCTCAAAGGTCGCCAGCCTCGCCCGGCGTGTCTTGAAGATCTTAGTCGTTGCTCAGCGGCTACGAACGAACTGAGAAACTCAGGTCTCGCAGTGGTGCAATCACAACTGATGAAGCTCGGTGGCGTCTAAGAACTCCATGCAAAGGTCAATCGATGCCAGAGAGATTCGACTCTTTGTATTTCTTTTGTGCTGTTTGATGAGTTTGGATCCTCAGCCACCACTCCACTCCACTCCACCCACTCACCTAGCTACTCCCTCGCTCACTTACTGACTCTGCTTACTGACCCGCTACCCCCTGTGTAGTTCTACCCCAGGAACAGTTGGGCGCTTGGCAGCAACCCCGGCGCCTTCATGGGGGCACAGATGACGCAAATGAATGCCCTCGCAGCGCAGAGCGCGGCTGCGCGCTTGGCGGCGGGAAAGAAGGCACAGAAGAAGGCACGGGCACCCGCCGTGGTCTCCACCTGGACCGGTTCCAACGGTCGGACGTGTGTGGTTTGGGTGTGAGGTGATGTGGCAAAGCATTGCTTTTTCGCACACCGATGATGACGAGATATGACGAGTCCCCTCGGTCGACAGCGACGGCGAGTCCCTTTGTTCCGTTCAAGAATAGAGAATGGAAAGCCTTTTTCAGCACGAATCCCTTCACTTTGCTCACGTGAACATCTTCCGAAAACGACATGCGCACGTCGGCAGTTCGGAATCGCCGAAACGGCCGAACACGGCCCGTTGGGCGCGTGTCTCTTGGAGTGGGAGTGGCTGTAAGCCATGCGTGCTAGAGGACTGGAGCAATCGGTTTAGTTGGATGGAGGATGAAGGTAAAAACATGACCACTAGCACCATTAGTCTGTCGGAACTTACCCGTAGAGCCGTCAGTAAACAAGCAAATCACTATTTTTTGGACAGGGCCTCTACTAACCATCATCATCCACTGTTACAGGTAATAGGATAGATAGACCCAATCTATCAGTATCAGTATCCGTCTCTGTGAAGCTTTGCAAAAACACATTGACCATCCAGGTGTCACGCGGGTATCAAGACATGCAGAAGATGTTCATTCCGCGCGTTGGGCCATGAAAGAAGAAGAGTATGCACGGTTGGAAGTCACTCTCCGCCTTTGGCATGATTCGACCCTCCTGTACACCAGTCATGACTCGCAGTGATCCATTCATGACCCAAACGTTGGTGTTGGACGACTCGGTGGTGTGTTGGCCAGGCACCAAAGGCCAAAAGTGCAAAGGTGGGGAACGGCCGGACGGGGTCGATCGAAACGGCGGAAGGAGATGCGAAGCATAGGAAGATGATCAAAGGTGGTCTAAAATGATGTGAATAATAGCTACTACTAGTAGCTTCTTGTTACTACAGGTCAGGTGAAACGACTCCCAAGGTGAGCAGAACCTGTGAAGATGTCCATGTTGATCGCCTCCAAATGATTGAGGGAGAGGGATCAAGTTAAAAGCGAATGAGTATCAGGCATGGAAGGTGAAGTCTCCAGTCTCCTCAACGTTGGATTCTTAGGAAGTGGAGTTGTCGCAAGTGTAGTTTTGTGTTTCTGTGTTTTGACTTGTAAAATCGGGATGCGAGAAGTGGCTATGATAAAGGCTGCCTTTTTCATTCAACCTTTGTTTGCTGAATCAACAAGCAAATGATGATCCATAGGCCCAGGCCGGGGAAACCATACATTTGGATTGTTCAAATGAAAAGTCAACAGAAAGATGGCCACCTGTGAGGCGAATAGTGCTGCTTTGGCAGCGGCATCCTTGAGAGCTGAGGCACCTGAGTTTGTCCCCAGCTGGGAGTAGAGTCGATCGGCTCGCTGCACAGAGTTGATTCAGCGCCCGAAGGCAGGGAAAGTGACTAGATCTTCGTATCTTAGGGAGAGGCCGCTCTTGTGATGTTTTTGTTGCTAGTGATGGAAAGATACAGAATGTTCTGTCCGGACACATGTGGTCGAAACTTTCGGTCACTCCCAGACCCAGGAAATACTCCTGACTGATTTCTGTGAAAGAACAGATGATCCGGGAGATTCGGTTGCAGATTTTGGAGTCAAATCCCACCAACAGCTTGGCGCAAATCTCGAGAAAGTCCGCAGCTGAACATGTGCGCTCAGAGTGGATGGCATAAAGCCATCGGTCGGCCGTTTTGGAATGGCATCCACACATCTGACGGGCAAAAGTAGATAGAGTATATAGAAGGGAAATGACGGGGACAACATACCCTCCCTCCAACAATCATCGAAGTAGACAATCCACTCTTTGTAGAGGAAATGGTCATTTTAGGCGCCATTGTCCACTTGTGTTGGAGGGAGGGTATAATTACTATAATCTTCATGAAGTCGATCTTTGTAGGCTGATGCAGCTTCTATGTCCTTTCGTCAAAAAGCACGTGGTTTTTTGGACAGATCCAGAGATGTCTTTGGGGGGAGGGTCCCTACATGCATTGAAGACATCTAACCCCCACCGGTGGAAATCGGAGTGAAACAAGTCTCGGAGTAGTCGACCACGGTTTTCGACCGAGGCTTGGAGGACAGCGCCAGCAGCGTGCGGGATCCCACCGCGCCCGGTGGCCGAG